TGTGGTTTCAAACTAGTGCCTCATGGAGTGGTGAGCTGCTTGCAATAGATGCCTAAGAGCTGCTACTTTTTAATCTTCTCTCCTTGTTTTCTGACACTGTTCTTATCTTTGTGTTAGCTACAAATTATGTTCACACAGAAAATAATAACTTAGTCTTGTTAGGGATACAGTAAAGAAGAGCATAGGAAGACTTTTTTAAAGATAATAGAGACCAGTAATTTAAAGCTATGCTATGAACAGAGAAGAAAATTAACAGAAACCATTATTTGATCTATATCTTTTTCTGCACCCAGGGATATGCAGTTAGTAGAATAGAATTTTGAATGCATTTCTTCCACATCTGAACTTAAACTTGTAATATTTTAGGGGTTTTTCTTTCACCAAAAATGCATTAGGTTTGCTCCAGCTCCAGTGCAGAAACGACTCAGCTGCATGGCCAGGAATAACTCCATCTATGTGGTTGCAAACACTGGGGACAAGAAGCCGTGTAATTCCAGTGATCCTGGTTGCCCCAGCAATGGTCGCTATCAGTACAACACTAATGTTGTCTTTGACTCGGAGGGGAAACTCGTGGCTCGATACCACAAGGTAAGGAAGCGCTGTGGCATCCTGTCATTGATTATCAGTATACTTTTCACCTCTTCAGCACCAAGTTCAGCTGATTTGCACATTGATTTTACATAATTGTAGACCGACAACCAATCCAGGATGATCTGATGCAAAGATCTTATGACCAGAAGGAAAAGCAGACAAGTCCTTGATCCATCAGGGATTATTCCCAAAAGCACCGCAGCTGCCAGGCACATGCTGGATACCAAACACCTAAGGGCTGCGTTTATCCTACTAAATGGGAAAGAAGCAGTGACAGAGTTTTCCATACTCAGTAAATGTTAGCTGGTCCTATGCTCAGTTTTAGCCAAGCCAGATAGCACTTTTGCAGATGATGTTTTGGCAGGGTTTAGCACTTAGTACTGGCTGGGCATTGCTTCCCGGTGGCAGCAGGGGTGCAGCCCCCCCATTTTGCAGGGGGAGAGGGTCAGCTGGATGGATGCAAACTCACTGTGCCAGCCAGCTCAGGTATCTCAACCCCCAGCTTTGCCTTAAAGCCTTTCTCTTACACAAAAGTAGGTGTTCATAATCTTGCTTTATTTTTCGTTTCTAATACGCCATTTTCTTCACTTGCAGTACAACCTGTTTAGAGGAGAAACTCAGTTTGATTACCCAAAAGAGCCAGAAGCTGTCACCTTTGAGACCCCATTTGGGAAGTTTGGCATTTTCACTTGCTTCGACATCCTTTTCCATGACCCTGCCGTGGTCCTGGTGAGGGACTTGCAGGTAGACACCGTGCTCTTCCCGACTGCTTGGATGAACGTCCTGCCATTCCTGACTGCGATTGAGTTTCATTCTGCCTGGGCTATGGGCATGGGTGTCAATTTGCTTTCAGCAAACGTTCACAACAGCGTGTTGTCAATGACAGGTGAGTTGCATTTGGGAAAAGGGAAATTGTCTTCTGAGTACTGGATTCAGAAGCAGGCAATATGTTTTACAAATAGTGAAGTCTCTGGAAAACAGTTTTTAGTCAGACTAAAAATACACTTGATGTTGGATCGAATATAGTAAGCAGCTTCAGGCAAGGAAATATTGTATGTTCTGGGACAGCTAAAATTAAAAAGTGCATGACATTAAATTTTGATATTTCAAAAGTGAAATTTTCTTTAAAAATAGCACTGTTTCACTTAGATTTTCAGCCTTTCATTTTATGTTTAAAATTCTGTCATAAGTTAAACGAAGAAAAAAATGTTTTAAACAGAACTTAATAAGCCTAAAACAAAAGGAGGATTCCTGTTATCTGTTGAATAAAACATTTCCAGGTTTTTGTTGCTGCTAAAGAATTAGAGAAATTTATACTTTGGGTTGTGCTGAATAGATATTTGCTGCCATTTTTTTTCCCTGTATACTGAGAAACCATTGCTGTAGCTGAATCTCTAACTCTTTACCAAAGCAGAAATGAAAGCCACAAATGAACATTTTTGCCTGTGCTAAATAGACTGAGCTGAGTTTAGGCCACAGTCCTGGGTTTCCTTCTGTGAAACATAATTACCCCCATGGTTTCCTTTTTTGACAAGCCACTCTTAGAGCTCTGATTTATATTTAAAATAACCTAAGTTCTTTGTAAAAAGGGATGATCGTGTATCAAGTTGCCATTTAAAGCTCAGATTCAAGATCCAGCAAAGCACAAAACATGTGAAGTTTAGGTCATGGTTTTACACTATGATGGGTATTTTAGTGGTTCTATGCTTTGAAGTTCTTCCAAAATTCTCCATAATATGTTGGCTGAAAATGACATCACCAAAAAAGCCTGCTGGTGTGGCACAGGGGGCAGCTATCCCCCCTGACAAGTTGTGCTTGCGGGTGCCGGCTGACGGGGGGCTGGTGGGTGTCCTTGACAGGTAGCGGGCTGTTCACGCCAGAGGGACCCGCCGCCTACCATTATGACAGCAGGACAGATGAGGGACATCTCCTGCTAGCGAAGCTGAGAGCACGCCCCCGTCTTTCCCCCACATACCCCCCTGCTGTCAACTGGAGCTCATACGCCACAAGGATAGAGAAATTTCCAGGAGGAAAATACACTTTTTCAAGAGCTGTCCGGCAGGATGTATTCACTTTCAGTGAACTCAGGAGCAAAGCTGGAAATTATACGGTTTGCCAAGGAGACCTCTGCTGCCATTTGGTCTATCAGATGTCAAACAAGAGGAAAGATGAAGTTTATGTCCTGGGTGCATTTGATGGGCTTCACGGTTCTTCCATAAAATACCATTGGCAGGTAAATGGTTTTGTAGGGGTTCATGTGTGTTGTATGTGCCTACATCCCAGCCATCCCAAAACACTTGTCTCTTCCTACATTGTGATAACTTTTCTTGCTATCAAATCCAGCTCTTTGTTGTTTAAAGCCTAGTGGTAATTTACCTTTCTGTACCCTCCTTCCTGCAGACATGCACACTGCTCAAGTGCAAGAGCACAGACCTGAACACATGCGGGCAGGCAGTGGAGACAGCTCAGACCAAGTTTGAGAGGTTCTCCCTCAGCGGCACATTTGGCACCAACTGTGTCTTTCCAGAAGTCTTGTACAGCGGGGTGCAGCTGGCCCCCGGGGAATTTGAGGTAATGGGACACCGTGGAGCTGTTTGGCGCAAGGTTTTCCAGGCCGTGGTACTGGAAACCCCTATGGCAGCAAAGTCTCACCCAAGAACCACTTTCTTTGGTTCTGCAGATAGTAAGTAATTCAAGAGGACACTTAAATGGATGGATTGAATTAATTCTTATTAATGAGAGCATATAAATGCTAAGGCTAAGAATCTTTTCAATGTTTTCTTTAGCAACTATGCCTTCTCACTTCAGGTACCAAATCTATAAACTACAGCTTGCAAGGAGCTATTTTCTTCTGAAGGGCATCTTATAAGACAAAGAAACCAAATACTCTGAGAAATTGTCCAAGAAAAAAAAATAGTTAATTAGTAACATACATAAGAGCAACAATCCTATGCAGTTAAAAATGTTAAAAGGTATTTTTGAGGGTTTTGTAGGTTTTTTTATTTATTTGAAACTTCATAATATATTTTTGCCAAAACCTGTTTTCACTTACTTTCACCTTAGATAATATTTATATAAGAGGCTAGATGAAATCTTAATTGATTTGGAAGAGGTATTTGATAGCTTACAAGAGACAAAAAAGATAGTGAAAAAGACTTGAAAATTTTAGGGGAAATAAGGGTGATTTTTTACAAGGTAGAGAATGGAAAAGCATTGCTAATCCCACATATTTGTTTTGAATTTAACTTCTGTAAGAACATACACTTCAAAGGATTTATTGGTATGCTAAAATATGATCATGATCTAATGTTAAAATATTTACTTTTTATTTAAGAAATACATCATTGTTTGTCACAAAGGCTCTTAAATTCTTGCAGGTGTTCACAGTCTATGAACAACACTAATTTTAAATTTATTTGTAAAAAGTAACTAAGAAAAGAAAAATATAGCCAGTAGCTTGAAATTCTCTACTTCTACCTGGAAATTTTTTTGAGGTCTACAAATCAAAAAAGATTTCAAATTACTGTCCTAGATATGTATATAATACATATACACTGCCATGTATGAATAACTAATGAGAACCTAACAAATCAGTTATTCTCACTGTTGCCTTCTTATGAAGCAGAGAAGACTAACTTCTTTTTTCCAAAGATGAAGCTGGAGGAAGTTTTAAAGACTTTGTTTTCTTTCATTCTCATGATTGACTTTAAAAAGTGCTGCAACAAGATATTCAACATCTAAGGCCTACTCTTTCTGTACCATGCAATATCACTACTCTGTGGACTATTAGTATCATTCTTTATCTTTCAAATAGGTGCTACGTGATGGACGTTTGAAAAGTAAGCATGTCACATCGAAACCACTCTTAACAGTGACGCTTTTTGGAAGGCTTTATGAAAAGGACCTGCCACGTCCTCTGCAACTGTCCCTGTAACATAACTCCTTAGCTGTTACGCAGTCACCATAGATGGTGATCCATCTCCTCCTGAGCCCCAGCAGTAATCCTGGATTCATTCCTGTTCTGCAGTCTTGCTTAGCAGCTGCAGCAGTTGTTTATTTAGAAGCAAGCAAGCAATGTGATCACTCTGTTGTGTACCTATATCAGCGGTATATTTTGTTTTAAGTGCTTAAGCACTACAATTAATTTTTAGCATGAATGCTCTGTCATGTGAAATCCTTGATTGCAAATTATTGTTTTTCTAAAGATATCATGTAGATTGCCTGGATAACATCACAAAAAAGGCTAATACTGGAATGCGTGACATGTGAAGTTTGCCAATTTGCCCCAGAAAAAAATCTTTGCCAGGGAAGCCTTCTTGTCCTTTTTGCCTCTTCTCATTTTTTAGACTGTATAAGCACTAAGTGTCTGTGTTTCTCAGCTGTGCACGCCAATCAGTAGGGGCTCCCTAATGTTCAATATGAGCCTTAGCCCCATTTTGACCAAGGGATTGTACAATGAAGAGAAAAGATGGTTTTAGGTGCCTTAGAAAGTAGACCTCCACAACCCATGCAGGTGCTGAGTTTGGCTGAGGTCCATAAAGCATCTTAAGTTCTACAGTCCCTCCTAGCTTGTACAACTCTGTGCATGGCAGACACGTACTGGGTCCAATGCATTTCAGTTCAGACTTATCATATAAACATAGTATGCCCACACCTTCTCCTAGGTATTTGGAAAATTTCTTCAAAACTGTGAAAACATAGGAAATAGGCAATATTTCAGTACCTGAAACACATTTTACCATGTAATGCGAAAAATGCGCATTATTTGAGACTTCTGTGATTCTCACAATGATAAGTAAAACTTGGTAGCCCTGGATCTGACTTCTGTCTATCATGTTCTGCACCAAACAAGTCTCTTTTGTACCACATACAGCTTGGAGTGGTCCCTGCCTCCATACTTATCCCATAGTCTTTTGCATCTACTGCCCTTCACATCACAGCCTTACAGCCTGCTCCATACTTAGCTCTGAGGTGCCCTAAATATGGCACATAAGAAACACTCTGTGGCTTCCCATCCCATGCACACCAGCGTATGTTACCTAGAAGTTGTTGAAATCATATGACTTCTGTTTTCCCATGTTCTGCTGCTTCTCAGCGTGCAACTTTGGAGGCTTCTTCATCCTGGAAATAAAACAGCTGAGCTTGTACTCAGAGGAGGGACTGCACCATTTGGGAGCAGTTATTCAAGACAGACAAGGTCCCAAGGTCATTCTTGCTGGTGGCTTGTCCAGCACCTCACCCTTTTCTCATCTGACATGTATTTGTAACCCAGACCAGTCTTTCATCAAACAGAGGAGGTTTTGGTCAAGAGAGATGATGACCAACCCACAGCAGCAGTAATCCCCTGTGATTGTAGGGTGCGTAATGGGTATGGAGTCCAAGATTTCAAGATGCAGAGCTGATCCCTGTTCCCCAAGCCACTCTGGTACACTCCGGAAGCCCCTTGTCTTGCATGTGAGGAGCGAGAATTTGAGAAGGGCCAACAACACTGTGCTGGTTATGGTCTGCAGTGTCATCCTGTTGACCAGGCAGGTCGGTTTCCACTGGGGTCAGCACAGTCAGGCACATATGATGGAAAGTGTCTCTGCAGCAGAGCAGCCAGGAGCTTTGCCTTGGGGTGATCCCTATGGTGGTGCTTCTCTATCCATTCTCAGTGCTGCTCACTCAGCTGTCTGCCGTGGGAGATGTCAAGGAAATGCTCCAAGAAAGGCAAAAGCTACCCTGACATGTAAACTCCAGTAGTGAAAAAGATCCTAAAATGTTTTTTAACTTGAAATCATAATTCTCCCTGCTGCCCCTGAATCCTGCTTTTTCCCTCTCTGCACTAGAGGAGGTACCTCTGATACCTTTCTGCTCCAGTGATGGTCGCTCCTTGAGATAGCTCAGGCCATGGTTCCAGCAGTGTAGGGCTGGAAGAAAGAGGATGCCTGGATGAGGGGGGATGGCTGCTGTCTCCTGCAGCCCTCTGACCACACAGGTGCTGCAAGAGCTGCAAACCTGGGTGTGAAGTCAGCGCTGCATCTCCTTGCACACGCTGCCACTCACCTCCATCTCCCCCGTAGCTGCCCTTCAGGCGAAATATGCTTTTATTTCCTGGCCTGGAATTGCTTATGTGGAAAAGAAAAAGATGAAAGAAACCACTACTGGAGTGGCATGCAAATGCAATTTGACTTCTGTTTTTTGTTGTTGCAGTCAAATAATTTGAATAAACTATTTTTTCACTGGGTTGCATCAATAGCTTTACACACTAATCCACAGAAATGAAGAATCTGGGGACATTTGAGAGAGAAATGCCTCACAGACACAGTACTTTACAGGGTGCTGGTACTCTAAATCCTGAGTATTTCATGCACTCCAAATGGATGAGGAATTTATAAAAATCTTTCTGAAGCTGAAGAGGAATACAGTCAGGGGACCTCGATTGAACAGAATTGTAGACATTCAGTATATTATTACTAGGTTTACCTTTATATATTAGCTTAAACTTTCCTAAACTATCTGTATCAAAAGAGTCAGCGAGAGTTTATTCAAGCTCCTCAGTTACGGTTAAGGAGATAGGACTTATGGGGAGATAACTAGATTTTAAAATAAGTATTTTCTCTTTATTCAAGGGTAAAGTTTATGCCACTTTCAGCTCCCTTGTCACTATACAGGCTGTGATAATTGAACATGAAAATCTCCCACATATTTCTTGCTGACATTTCTGAAGTATGGAGTACTTCCCAGATAGATGCAGAGCTGACTGTCTTAGATTGTCAGAGCTAGAAACGAGTTGCATACAGCTGATATTGCTAGTTATGTAGCTTATAGGATATCAGGAAAAGACTCTCAAACCTCCTCCATTGAGGATGCAGAATTTCAGGATTCTTTGAAAATAACATCAAAATAAAATTTGAAGAATGATTGGCATCTAGTTTTCAAGATTTGCTGCACAGCTTTCCTCTCCCTGAGAGGGTACTGAGGGTGCCATACAATGGACCACTGAGGAGTGGTCCTTTCCCATTTCTGATGATAAAGCAAGAATAAAACTAAGCAGAAGATGAAGTTACATGGACCATTGCAGCAGTCTTAGAATAGCTCCTTCATTTTAATGTGCAAGAACTATGAACTATGAACCTGAACTATGCTTTTGGGTAAGGGTTTCCTAGGAGGACTACAAAAACAAACCAGATCTTCAGCTGAGGAACTTCGTGGTCACAGTGACCAGACAAAGTTCAGCTTTAGAAAACATGAGATTTTTTAATAAAGGTAAATTTCAAGTGATGCAAATTACAGAAGCATTCAGAGTAAAAAAGCAGAGAAAGAATGAATGACTGACACAATAAATCACATTCACCTAGAACAGCTTCTGTTGAATTAATGGAAAGTTCAACTGTTATGTAGGAGTTAGAAAAGAGAGACTAAAAAAATAAGACCACCTCAAAAGCTACTCCAGATGGTATCCTAATGGACCCCATCCTTTTCTGAGCTGGAAAGACCTGCTCTTCACGTGTCAATATTTCTTCCTTATACCTAGATACTGGCCAAAGCAAACAAGACACACCTGTCCATCGTGTTTCTGATCACAAAGAGAGAAAAACAAATCCTTAATAGATTTTATTGGTGCAAGGCTTCAGATGCAGGGGGAAAAATACTGGGTTAAAACAAGTGTGATACAAATCTTATGGCTGACTTAAGTAAGACTGGTCACAACTTCAGCTCTCAGTAAAATCTAATGCACTTTATTGTACATACTGAATCAAAGCAAGCAGACCTTGAGCAACAATAGTGACAGAATCTTAATAACTGTTTTTTTTAAAGAAAGCAGGACACTACAGCCATATCATAAACTCAAGTTATCCATTAAATAATGTGGAATAACAAAGTGCAGTCAGACATTGTGCAACTATTAGCCCCAGTAATACAATATTAAATTCTTATGAACAACATGTGTTATCATAGGTGAATTACTGGCAGTATGGGACACAGTTCCTGGGTACACTGAATCACTGAATCAGTGCAGGTATAGTGAGTGACAGACAGAATGACCATGACCTGAGTTGGAATTGAAGAATTTGTACATTTCAAATTAACCAAGAACCAGATTGTAACCCTACCTTGTCTGGACAGCGTTTGCAATGTCACCGTCCACCATCAGGGCAGGAAAGCTGAAAAAGAGAAATCACTTGCACAGGCCAATAAAGAGACCAGCAATTATTATAAGGCTTAGCATAGCTAATACAGGAATGCTTCTAAGCGGCTTTTGATGGACTATGAGGTAGTTCTGGGAGACAGTCCTGAAGGGCAAAGAGGTCCAGGAAGGCTGGATATTCTTCAAGAAGGAAGTCTTAAATGAGGAGAAGCAGGCTGTCTCCATGTGCCTTAAGATGAACTGGAGGGGAAGATGACTGGCCTGGCTGAACAGGGAGCTTTTGCTGGGACTCAGGAAAAAAAGGAGAGTATTCCACTTCTGGAAGAAGGGGCAGGCAACTCAAGAAGAATACAGGGTTAGGTAATGCAGAGAGAAACTTATGAAGGCAAAAGCCCAGCTAGAACTCAATCTGGCCACTCTCATAAGAGATACCAAAAATGTTTTTACAAGTACATTAACTACAAAAAAATGAGCCAAGGAGAATCTCCATCCTTTATTGGATGCAGAAGCCGGGGTGGGGGGTGGCAACATTGCCACCAAGGATAATGAAAGGCTGAGGTACTGAGTGCCTTCTCTGTCTCAGTCTTTAACAGTCAGACCAGCTATCCTCAAGGGATTCAGCCCCCTGAGCTGGAAGACAGGGACAGAGAGCAGAATAAATCCCCCATAACCCAGGAGAAACCAGTTAATGACCTCTTATGCCACCTGAACAAGTCTATGGAGCCGGATGGGATCCTCCTGAGAGTACTGAGGGAGCTAGCAGAGGAGCTTGCCAAACCACTCTCCATAATTTATTAACAGTC